TTTTTTTCCCCATTTGAAATGATAGATTTCCTACAGAGAAGGGGATGTGACATACTGCCTGGGAGCCCTAAACAGATCACTACCCTCAAACGGATTAGTCCATTCATGGGAACTAGATGTGCCTGAGGGATCGGCCATGAAACCACCACCCTCCTGTAATCCTGGAACATAAACACCCCCACCAACATTCATGTGAGGCCTTGCCGCAGTATTTCCTTCCATAAACATTGTCGCCCATGAGTCAGACTCAACATTATCCTTCAATGGTCTTAGCGATGTCACATCCAAGCTCCAATCAATAGATGCATAATCCCGGTGGGCAGCGGAGCTACCGTTGCTCCAATCATTCTGAGAAGATGAAGCGGGCCCAGAAGAACTCAATGCTGTAAAAAGTCCTAGAGAAGATGGCATCGCTAGCAACGATGTGGTTCCCGAAGAATTCCAGGATTGGTTGCTCCAACCAGTTGCCGCAGACAAGTCCGCCGGTCCTGACGATACTGTATAGGGGTTGCTTTGAGTGTAAAACTGTTGCAGGGATGAGCCTGTTGAGCCCATACCAGCGAAGTTATGAGTCGAACCACCATTCGCCGCTGTAAAAAAATCCAGGCTAGGAGATGCGTTTGGATGCCATCCTGTGGATGCTGGCGGAGACATGCTCAAGCCAATGCTTGAAGGCAAGTTCTGCTGCTTCGGGCGTCTCATAACAATGAAAGAGGGCTCTCTCAAAGTTCCTGCCTGAAAGTCTGTCTGAATTTCATGCCCCATGGGAGCTGGGAACTGAAGTTCTGACTTCAATGGAGGTCCCGAAGGCTGCACTGGTGAAACCAATGGAGGGTATGAAACAGATGGAGCACCACCGGTCATTGCCAACAATCTTTTATCAATTGCAAGAGACTGAACTCTTGACCAATCATTTGGTTTGAGCTGCATCTTCTTAAATGCCTGCTGAGGGTTTCTATTTACATATTCCTGTGGCAAATTACTAGTTACCATAGTTCTGTAGTTTAAATCTTTTTCATCTCGTCTCTGTTGTTGAATGATCATGGAGGATGAGGTTGCTCCTTTTACGGGATTTCTCATCAATACAGGGTTGTTAGGAGCTGAAATCTTATTATTTAGCCCATTGGAATCAACAAATTCATCTGATTTGAGTGTTGCGGCAGAAGCAGCTTGTTTTTGCAACCTCAAGCTGTCATCAGCCTTCAACAAATCTCCCTCACAAGCAACAACAGCCCTTTCAACATCTTGTTTTGTACATTTGTGCTTAACCTCTAATTCTGCAAGCCTGGCAAGCTCATCACTAATATCAACTTTTATGTGGCTTTTATCTTCTAGGTTTACCAAAACCTGCTGTTTGTTATCCTCTTCCCCTTCATGTAACAACCACGCGACCGACTCCTCCATCCGGCCTTCATTTATTATGAGGGCCATTTTTGCTCGATCAGTGGGGAACCCCATGGCCTCGAGTTGGTGGGAAAGAG